TTCCTCCTCCTCTACTTTCCTTGCCCTCCTCCCCCTCCTCCTCCTCCTCCTTTCCCCCCCCCTCCTCCTCCTCCTCCTCCTCCTCCTCCTCCTCCTCCTCCTCCTCCTCCTCATCCCCCTCCTCGACCCACACCCCTGCCGGCGCAGGACGCGGCGCAGGGGCCTGCTGCTCCTCGCCGCCACGCAGGGCGGCCCAGGAGGGGGCATCGACCAACGCCGTCTGCCAGCCTGGGGTCGAGGGGGGGGCCAGGAGATGCCTCGCCTGCGAGGGATCGAGAGATCCACAGTGCTTGCAATGTCTCTCTCTCTCTCTCTCTCTCTCTATATATATATATATGTATATCCACATCCATGGCGTCTTGGACTTTCGGGCTCTCTTCCCCAGAAGCATGCGGCGCAGTGGACATGGACGAACAGCTGGCCCCCAAAGGTTCGATTGTTACCCATATCCAGTGCGCCTCGGCCTTGGGCGCCCCTTCAAAGAGAGTCCAAGACGCACTGGATATGGATAGAAGTATTGCCCGCATACAGTCAACCCGTATAGCAAGGATGCGCGACGATCAGGATACAAGGGCGTTGGAAGGCCACGTCGAAGCTTTTCGAAGGGGCGCGGCCCCTGGCCGACACACAGCTCCCCTCCGCGAGCCCGTTTTTGGAATATTCGCGGGAACGCAAGTGACCGGCCCCGCCCCGTCCCTCCCCCTGCCCCCTGGCGCCGTGGGGGAATCAGCCATTCCTGGGAGCATTGCCAGACAACGCTGGCGCGAATCATGACGTGACCGGCCCCCTCCCCCACACCCCTCCGTCCCGCCCCTCCGTCCCGCCCCCCCGGGTACACCCGTCATCGCCAGGGAAAACAACAACTGTCTCAAAGGACCCCCACCTTTGCAGAGTCGAGGTTCTATCGTCGGTTCCTGGAGGTCCTCTAGCCTCCAGGCGCTCCCCAGCAGCTGCGCCTCGCCGAGGAGCGGAGGTGAATTGATCGCCCCGAACGGCTGTCAGAGACCCGATGTATCAGGAGAGACAAAAGGTACCACTGCCACCAACTACGGGCGTGGCCGCTCCCTCCCCTCGAGCTGGTGGCACTTCCTTCCGGGAACTCTCTGGAGGCATGCCCGGAACGAGATGCCACCAGCTCGAGAGGGTGGGGCAGCCACCCCCTAGCTGGTGGTGGTGTTCTCTTGTCTCTGGCGGGCACCGCGGCGGGAAAGGCTTGTCCACTCTCGGTTCCCAACGGCTCCCACCAGACCCTGCGACCGCCAGCCACCGACTCGGGACGGCACTACGGCCCCAGGCAAAGGGTCTACAGGGCGGTTTTTAATACATCGGATGTTTAAACATATGGCATGTTTCTATACATGATTACTTTAGGAATAGATTTATGCATGGACTCATCGTTGCTTTTCGTACAAGATCCCTGCATTTTGTATACATGATCCGCACGCGGAGCATGTATTAAAAACGGCACTGTACAGCCCACACCTCTCCGGGGGGCCCCGCTGCGATGCGTCAGCGCGACGACGGAGCTCTCTGGGCACGGCCGGGCGCCCCCCGCAGGACCGCCCTCCATCCCAGGTGGCCTGCCCCAGGGGTCGGGGGAGGGCCCGCTGCAACAGCGGCTGCTCTCCTTAAACCTGCCAGACCACCCCAAGCCAACCCGAAGACCCGAATTTCGGGTTGGGGGTGGGTACGGGTTCCACACGTGTTCTCTCAGTGTTCCCCGCCCCCCCCAGTGGAAAGGGAGGGCAAATTGAGGCCTTCGGGTTGGGTTGGGGTGGTTTGGTGGGTGGTGATCTCCCGCCCGGCCCCAAGCCCGACCAAGCCCAAGGGTCCCTCCTGGCCCGTCCTTTCGAGGCGGACCCAGCCGCGGTCACGAGAAGCCCCCAAGAGACCTCCCAAACACTGTATCAAATTATAGCCGGAGTGCAGTATCCCAAACAGGGTTTTTAGACCCACTGCGGTTTCCAAGGTCGATTGCGTACCCGTCCAGTGCGGGCTGGCATGGCATTTTAAAACATGCCTCCTCCTCCTCCTCCTCCTCCTCCACCTCCTCTTCATCCCGAACGGCATCTCGGAGCCCAGAGTTGCGAGGATTTCTCCAGCGTAACGGGCTGGACCACCTCGCGCGCGGCATTTCGGACCCCAGAATTGCGACGATGTCTCGGGCGAAACGTGCTGCGAGGAAGTCTCAGGCGAAACGGGCCGGACCACCTCGAGCGCGGCGTCTGAGCTCCGAGTTGCGGGGGCCTCCTGGTGCCTCCTGGGACCTCCTGGTGACCTCCTGGGGCTTCCTCCTGGGTCTCTTGTGGCCTCCTGGACCCCACCTGGGCTTCCCGAAGCCTCTTGGGGCTCCCAGGGGGGGATATCTAACCTGTGGTCGTCGGGCCCCCCAAAATGGAGGGGGGGGGAGCACAAGAGCAGGAAGAATCAACGAATCGACACTGGATGTGTATTAACTTGACACGTTCTGAGAGGGGGCATCCTGGGGCCTCCTGGGAGCCTCCTGGGAATCTCCTGCGGACCCCTGGGGCCTGTCCTGGGCGTCCTGCGGCCTCCTGAAGCTCTCTGGGGCCTCCTGGGGGCCACATGTGGTCTTCTGGGCCCCCAGGCTGGACCACCTCTTGCGCAGCATCTGAAAGCTCAGAGATGCGAGAATGTCTTGTGCGAAACAGGCCGGACCACCTTGCGCACGGCATCTTAGAGCTCAGAGTTGCAAGGATGTCTCAGGCGAGATGGGCCGGACCACCTCGCGCAAAGCATCTCGGAGCCCAGAGTTGCGAGGATGTCTCAGGCGAAACGGGCTGGACCACCTCGCGCGCGGCATCTCGGACCCCAGAGTTGCGACGATGTCTCGGGCGAAACGTGCTGCGAGGAAGTCTCAGGCGAAACGGGCCGGACCACCTCGAGCGCGGCGTCTCAGAGCTCCGAGTTGCGGGGGCCTCCTGGTGCCTCCTGGGGCCTGCTGGTGACCTCCTGGGGTTTCCTCCTGGGCCTCATGTGGCCTCCTGGACCCCACCTGGGGCTTCCTGAAGCCTATTGAGGCTCCCAGGAGGGATATCTAACCTGTGGCCGTCGGGGCCCCCCAAAATACGGGGGGGGGAGCACAAGAGCAGGAAGAATCAACGAATCGACACTGGATGTGTATTAACTTGACACGTTCTGAGAGGGGGCATCCTGGGGCCTCCTGGGAGCCTCCTGGGAATCTCCTGCGGACCCCTGGGGCCTGTCCTGGGCGTCCTGCGGTTTCCTGGAGCTCTCTGGGGCCTCCTGGGGCTCCCAGGGTCCCAGGGGGGATATGTAACATGTGGTCTTCTGGGCCCCCAGGCTGGACCACCTCTTGCGCGGCATCTGGGAACTCAGAATTGCGAATGTCTTGTGCGAAACGGGCCGGGCCAACTTGCGCACGGCATCTCAGAGCTCAGAGTTGCAAGGATGTCTCAGGCGAGACGGGCCGGTGTCTCGGGCGAAACGCGCTGCGAGGAAGTCTCAGGCGAAACGGGCCGGACTACCTCGAGCGCGGCGTCTCAGAGCTCCGAGTTGCGGGGGCCTCCTGGTGCCTCCTGGGGCCTCCTGGTGACCTCCTGGGGCTTCCTCCTGGGCCTCATGTGGCCTCCTCAACTCCACCTGGGGTTTCCTGAAGCCTCTTGGGGCTCCCAGGAGGGATATCTAACCTGTGGCCGCTTGGGTCTGTCAAAATGGAGGGGGGGGGCACAAGAGCAGGAAGAATCAACGAATCGACACCGGATGTGTATGAACTTGACACGTTCTGAGAGGGGGCCTCCTGGGGCCTCCTGGGAGCCTCCTGGGAATCTCCTGGGGATCCCTAGGGCCTGTCCTGGGCGTCCTGCGGCCTCCTGGAGCTGTCTCGGGCCTCCTGGGGCTCCCAGGGTCCCCGGGAGGATGTGTAACATCTGGTATTCTGGGCCCCTAGGCTGGACCACCTCTTGCGCGGCATCTGAGAGCTCAGAGTTGCGAGAATGTCTTGTGCGAAACAGGCCGGACCACCTTGCGCACGGCATCTCAGAGCTCATAGTTGCGAGGATGTCTCAGGCGAGACGGGCCGGATCACCTCGCGCAGGGCATCTCAAAGCTCAAAAGTTCGATGATGTCTCAGGCGGGCTCCCAGGATCCCAGGGAGGATGTGTAACATGTGGTCTTATGGGCCCCCAGGCTGGACCACCTCTTGCGCGGCATCTGGGAGCTCAGAGTTGCGAGAATGTCTTGTGCGAAACAGGCCGGACCACCTTGCGCACGGCATCTCAGAGCTCAGAGTTCCGAGAATTTCTCAAGCGAGACGGGCCGGACCACCTCGCGCAGTTCATCTCAGAGCTAAGAAAATCGAGGATGTCTCAGGCGAAACGGGCCGGACCACCTCTCGCGCGGCATCTCCGAGGTCAGATGTTCGAGGATGTCTCAGGCGAAACGGTACGGAACACCTCGCGCAGGGCATCTCAGAGCTCAGAGTTTCGAGGATGTCTCAGGCGAAACGGCCCGGACCACCTCTCGCACGGCACATCGGGGCTCAGAGTTTCGAGGATGTCTCAAGCGAAACGGCCCGGACCACCTCTCGCGCGGCGTCCCGGAGCGCAACTGTTCGAGGATGTCTCAGGCGAAACGGCCAATCCCGGCCAACTCAGAAACGAGAGTTGTGAGGATGTCTAAAGCGAAACGGCCCGGACCATCAAATTTTTGTGAGGATGTCTCTGCTCCGACTTCCCTCGGCCGGAGTTAGCTTCTATCACAACAGCACCCCGTTCAGCAAGCTGTTTGGGGAAAAAGCCAGGAAGGGCCGACGTGGAATTCCGACTGCCCTCCTCCGTCCCTCCTTGTCCTCCTCAAGGGGCAACGATCGGCGGGGGGACCGGCTCAGAGAGAATAGCGTCGGGCTTGAATCGGCAAGGCATCGCCGACAGATCGGCGAAATGCCCCCGACAGCGAAAAGCCACGTACCTAGGCGGGGTGGGCTATCGGGCCACTATCGGCAGTCAGTGGATGATTCGCTGCTTACGCATTCCCCCCTACGCCTACAACGCCACACCATTGTGAGCGATGTTTCATTCGGCGTTTCGACATTGGGCAGAAGGGGGGGGAGGGCGTCTGGCTCCGGACATCTGCTTAGTGCGATTGTTTGCAGCACTGGGTCCTATGAGGGGAGGCTCCACCTGCTCGAAACAGGCGCCCCAAACGGCCAACATCTACTCCAGGGGGGGAGGAGAGGAGGGGCTTGG